ATATCCTCTTATTTAGATATTGTGTTTATACATCTCTTTTCAAAATGAAATGTATAATTAAGTACAGATTATAGATAGTTGCCTATAATAGTCAAAACTTATAGTTAGGTTAGTTTTTTTAGATTACAGAGATGTATTTGAGATGGATAGATAGTCTTCAAACCTTCTAAGACCTACAGAATATATGGCATTTAAATGGTTTAGGGTTTTTCATGATAGTGAGACACAACTACTCCTGGCACACAAATTATGTTTGAAAGGAAGATGGGCATCAAAGAAACACGCTATGGAATTTGCTTTCAACATGGCAAGATTAGTTATTTGGACAAGAATCTGCTCTTGCTGGACTGTTGGACTGTTGCTATACAAACTGGACATGCAGGACCCACAGGAAAGTGACTGCTGAACTTACAAAACCTACAGGGTTCATGCTTCATGGAATAGTCTGCCAGACATCCTGCAGGACACAGCACAGAAAAATGACTGAAAACGTTAATGCAGATGGACAGTTTGAAATTTCCTGCTTTGCTGAGAAGTCTGCCAGACACACTGTGGCCTATGGGCTGAAGATGGATGCCCCAACATTACAGAGGAACTTCGGGTGACTGTCCAGGTAGTGAGATGTCTCTGTCAATTCTAGTGTTTATATATTATCCTTCTGTGGTCTTTGATGGAGTACCGACATTACACCAATTTCAGCCTCTCAATAGTGTGCTCCTACAGCATCTTAACAGATATTAAATATTCCATTTTGGCAATAAGTAAAGCCTGGGTTAGCACATTTAAATAACTAGCCATGTAATAAGGAAAAGAAAGGCTGTAATGATGCTATTACGCCCATCAAGGTGTTGGTTTAATATTAGCTATGGGCTGGGTGGAGGAGCCTGGCAGGCAGCCGGGTAGCGGCATGGCCGAGCAGAGTGGGGCAGAGACGAGTGGGGCCGTCAAGACCCCCAAGGACAAGGAGGACATCGTGATCTGTGATCGAACCTTGGTCAAGGAATTCAAGGATGAAATCTCCCACAGGTTTAAGGATCAGCAGGATCAGCTGGCTCTGATCTTTGCAGGCAAGATCCGCAAGGATGGAGACACTGAATCAGCGTGGGATCAAGGATGGGCTCGCCGTTCACCTAGTCATCAAGACCCCTCAGAAGGCTCAAGATCCAGTGACTGCCACTGGTTCTCCCCACCCACCCCTGACTCTGCCTCTACATCCTCCACCACACCTGCCTCCCCTGCTGCCCCTGCCCAGCCCTGCGGCTCTGGCAGTGCCGCTTCAGATGCTGGCAGTGGAGGGGACCCACTCTAGTGACTGCAGAGGGTTCCCCAAGTGCTACTACATCGATTCTTTCTGGCTTTGGGGGCATCCTTGGCCTAGGCAGCCTGGGCCTGTTTTCTGCCAACTTCATGGAGCTCCAGCAACAGACAGCTCATGTCCAACCCCGAGATGCTGTCACAGATCACGGAGAACCTCTTGGTCCAGGATATGATGTCAAACCCTGACCTGATGCGTCACATGATCGTGGCTAACCCCCAGATGCAATAGTTGATGGAGAGGAACCCCGAGATCAGCCACATGCTCAACAACCCTCAGCTCATGAGGCAGACAATGGAGCTTGCTCGGAACCCAGCCATATTGCAAGAAATGATGCGGAACCAGGACCGGGCCCTCAGCAACTTGGAAAGTGTCTCTGGAGGCTATAATGCCCTGCGCCGCATGTACACTGATATCCAGGAGCCTATGTTCACTGCTGCTCAGGAAGTTTGGCAACAATCCCTTCTCTTGTCTGGCCGGGTACTCTGACAGCTCATGCTCCCAACCTCTATGGACTGAGAATCGAGAGCTCCTCCCTAAACCCTGGAGCCCCTCGGCCCCACCTCCCAGGCCCCCGGGTCCGGTAGGGAGGGCACCGAAAGATCGGGGACCAGCCAGGTGCACCCGACAGTCTCGAACCCTGTTGGGATCAATGCGGCTAGCCTGGGGTCAGGGATGTTCAACAGCCCAGAAATGCAGTTGCTCCTCCAGCAGATTTCAGAAGGACCCCAGCTGATGCAGAATGTGATCTCAGTCCCTTACATGCGCAGCTTGATGCAGATGCTCACCCAGAACCCTGACTTTGCTGCTCAGATGATGGTGAATGTGCCCCTGCTTGCGGGGAATCCACAACTTCAGGAACAGCTCCACCTGCAGCTCCTGTGTTTCTGCAGCAGATGTAGAACCGGGAGTCTCTCTCCATCCTCACTAAACCCCGGGCCATGCAGGTCTTGCTGCAGATCCAGCAGGGCCTGCTGACCCTACAGACTGTAGCCCCTGGGCTGGTACCCAGCCTTGGCTCCTTTGGGACATCCTGGACCCCTGTAGCCCTGGCAGGTAGCAACTCTGGTTCTGCAGCCGAGGCCCGTACCTCCTCCCTGGGACGTAGGAGCCACCTCTCCTCCCACAGCGGGTTCCAGCGCCCAGCAGCAACTGGTGCAGCAGATGATCCAGCTTTTGGCTGGAGGTGGAAACTCGCAGGTGCCGATGCTAGAAGTGAGATTTCAACAGCAGCTGGAGCAACTCAACTCCATGGGCTGTGTCAACCGTGAAGCCAGCCTACAGGCCCCGCTTGTCACAGGAGGGGATGTCGGAGGCTATTGAGAGACTCCTGGGGTCCCAGCTCTCCTGATTCCTTGGCCTGTGCCTCCCGCCTTCCCCCACCGCTCAGCGCCAGCCTTTGGCTCCTCTGTCAAGCCCTACCTTCTGTAGCCGGTCCTCTTTGACCTCTACAAACAGCAGGGTGACACTAGAGGCATGGGCCCAACCCCACAGCTGCCCAAGATTTTGATTCGGTTGCTGTCTAATGAAATCTCCTCTCCTGGCCCTCCGAGCAGAGCTGTTTAGTTTGCACAGTTGTGTCGTCAGTTGGACCCACCTCTTTGCCCACAAGTACTCTGGCAATGTTCAGTCTTCTCCCAGGGTCTGAGAGAGGAGGACCCCATCTGGCTTCCTGGAATTCTTCCATCAGTACCACTAGGGATTAGCTCGCCTTACATTTAGGTTTACTCTCTTCCTTCCCTCCCTCACCTCAACCCAACCAGTGTTTGAATTTCACTCTCTGGAGAGGAACTGATGAAATGCTATAGTTTCCTTTCTCTACCCCTATTCTGCGAATCCATCCAGCGTTTTTTCGAGGGCTCCTTTGGGACTCTGAAGCAGGGAGAAATGTACCTGTCCTCTTGCCTAAAGGGAGCAATGAGTCAGTGCTCTCTCTGGGCAGGATTACCAAGGACAGACAAGACCACAGAGGCTGGTGAAGAGCAAGAGCTGAGAGTCCCTGGAAGCAGGGACTGGGGAAGACGGCCTAAGCTGAATGCTTGGAAGTTCGATTGACAGCTGGGATATGGATTTCAGATTGGAGAACCCAGGCTCACGCCTGAGAAAAGAGAGAAAGACTGATGGAGTTTGAATTGGAGAATGGAGCTCAACAAAGCTGAGCAATGTGACCTACAAGGAATCAAGTTGGTTCCATTGTCTCCAACACGTGTATATGCATACACGTGTTCCAATGACCCAGGACCTACCTATATCTTACGGCTCTGGTACTTTGAGCTCCACTCTCCAGGAGATATGATGGAGTTGGATCTTTCTCAGCAGTATGGAGAAGTTGTGCACATCCAAGCATACATGAAAGTTGGGAGGTGTGTGCTCTTTGTTGGTTTCTGGTTCACAACTTTGTCAACAGAGATGAGTGGGTACAAGGGTACAAGGAATATAGCATTGAGAGAGCTGGGACTCTGGGTGTTTGGTAACCAGCAAGCATATTGGGTAGTTTTAAAGATAATGGCTCTAACTGATGCTACTATTACTTTTTGTGGTTTTTCGAGACAGGGTTTCTCTGTGGCATTGGAGGCTGTCCGGGAACTAGCTCTTGTAGACCAGGCTGGTCTCGAAGTCAGAGATCCGACTGCCTCTGCCTCCCGAGTGCTGGGACTAAAGGCGTGTGCCACCATGGCCCAACCCACCACTACTCTTGGGGTGGAAAAAAACAGTGAGGTTTCTCTTCCAGAGCTCCTGCCTTTCAGTTACTTGCTGGTTCCCTCTAGACCAGAAAGTTCTATTTGAGGAAGGGGTGGGAACAGTGATACCTTTCATAAGAAATTAGGTTTAGCTCAACTGGAGTACTGAGGAAGAGGCTCTTAACACATTCTCTCTGCTCTGTGGTCCAGTCCAGCTGCTTGGAGGATCCCCTGACTGAGAGATAGAGGAATCCTGTTTCCAGTTGGGGAAGGGTCCCAAGCAGTTCAGATCATCCTGCCCGTTTCCTCTCTTACTCCCAACACCCACCCTGGCCTTTGTAAATAAATGATTTTTTTGTGAGAGTAAAAAAAAAAGATTATCTATGAATCATGCCACTAGTTCAAAAGATCATGTGGAAGGGAATAAAAAGGATGAAATAACAATGAAAATTAATTTTCAAGAAAGCCAGAAGACACAGAAACTACCTCCAAGCTACAAAGTTCACACAAATGCTGTTAAAAGAAAAACTGGTGGCAAAGCCTTGCAGAAACCCGGTGTGTTTGGAGTCCATAGCAAAAGACAGAATCGTGGAATGACCTCAAGTCACAAGACACATAAAAATACCTACAAGAAGACCCAACTCTAAATGATAGTGCTTGTCCTAGTCTGCTCCCTGTTGCTGTCATAAAACGCTGACCCAAAGCAACATTGGGGAGGAAAGGGCTTGCTACATCCTAAGGGTTGTGCTCCATCATTGAGGCTAACCAAGGCAGGGACTGAATCAGAAACCACAGACCAAAGATTCTTACTGGCTTGTGCTGTGCGGGTTTGGCCCACCTGCCTAAGGATGGTGCCTCCCAGAGTGGGCTGGGCCCTCAGGCAACCATCACACATCCAGAAAATGCCCAGTAGATGCTGTTAAGAGAAGTTAATGATGAATATGCTTGGATGTAGTGTTCCCCAGTCTCATACCCATCAAAGAACTAAAAATTTTATTAGCAGATATTTTTAAATAATATTTTATTTGTCATTTGACCAATTTGTACATGCATACAAAATACTTGATCATATCCATACACACATCAGCTCTCCTTTCAAGCCCTTCTTACTCTCCCTGGCGACCTTCAACAAACTCCCTTCCAACCTTCATGGTCTCTTCCTTTGTTTTACATGCAGTGAGCTCAGTTAGTGTTGCCCACATGTACAGGAGTGTGGGGCCACCCACTGGATCATGAGTAACCTACCAATGGCAATACACCCACCCCACATGACTGGCCATTACCCAGCAACTGCCCACCGCCATCAGCCCCTGACCAGGAGCAGCTCCTTATGAGCCCCTTCCCATTCCACACGGGAAGTCTGTCACTTATTCTCAGCATTTTAAGATATGGGGAAAGATAACCGGAAAACAAACACTGGAAAAGAAAAACCAGAACCTCCTGATCCCATCACACAATTCTAAAATTTTCTAAAATTACAAATATTCATCACCTTAAGGAAGTAGTTTCCCAGTTCTGTGTATACGTTATTGTGTTGGTCCTTGGGGCTGCTGTCACAAAATGTCACGCACTCACTGGGTAGCTTAGATGCAACAGGAATTTATCTCACACTAATCAGGGCTTCATCAAAGTGGCAGATCCAATTTCTGGTGATGATCTTCTCTATGGTTCCCAGATAGAACTTCTCACCATGTCCCCATGGGGTAAGAGGGACCAGGCAGCTGTCCACAGCACATCGCTCTCCCAACAGCCCCACTGTCAACACAGAGGCAGTCTATGAATTCCATGGAGATCACAAGCAGACCACAGAACACATGAGTGTATCTAGCCATTTCATTTCTAAACATTTGCCCACGAAAAATTAAAGCATATGTATACAAAGACTTATATACACATTTTGATAGTAAATTTCTAGCAAAACTTATAAATAATACAACTGTTTATCAGCAGTGCACAAGAAAACATATCGTAGTGTATTCATTGGACTTCCACCCAGCAACAGAGAGCAAGCTGTTGATACACACTACAATAGAGTGAAATTCAAAGTATTATATAAAAAAATCAAACAAGACATGAAAACCTAGTGTAGAGTACATTATATAAACTGGAATGGATATCTTTGTTTATAATATCATATATTTTTCAAATAAAATGGCTCATTTTAGGAGGTTACAGGTGGTATGCAAAAGAAGTCTGGAGAAGCTTATGGTACTAGAGAGCCAAGACCATGCTCAGAGCAGTCCATTGCACACATACCCTTCTGTAACAGTGAAATATGCCAACAGACACAAAGGACAAGTGAAGGAGATCCCAACACTCAAGGCTGAAAATCCTTGAGGAACAAAATGTATCCATAGTGATACACATGAAAGACAGAATAACGCAGTGATAAGGGTGAATGGTGCTCCCCGGGCAGAATTACCAATCAAGTTTCCAGTTGGATACTCCACCTTAATGGAAACAGAAAATAACTTCCTACACCCACACATTCCCACAAACGGCTCATAGTGACTTCCTTCCAAAGATGGGAATGGTAAGCATATGAGGGACCCTGGAACACACTGCTTCACACAGGTACCTGAGACCAGCATCTTCTGTTCACTGTGAACTCTTGATGCAAGGCAGTGAAAACAGCACGTGCCAATGTTGACTCTCTTTCCCAAAAACATGAGCTTTGACTGCATAAAGAATGCCATCCTCCAAGGGTTCTCAGGACTACCAAAGTCATGAAATACAAGAGAAGAGATGCTGGCACAGCACAGGGGAGCCCAAGAAGTCATTACAGCAATGAAACAAGGTGTCCTGGGTGGGATCTTGGGAAAGAACACAGGAAAACTGTAAAGGCTCTGGGCCCTAGTTACAGTCACGCAGCAGCCTGCACTCACTAACGGAAGCATGCCTCCTGCAGCAGTGTACAGGAAGCCACACAGAGAACACTCTTTATTTCCTGCTAGGTCCTGCTGTTAATCTACAACTATTCTGAAAAGCAAGTCCTATTAGTAAAAGTCCTGAAAATGCTTATATCTAAGACGTGGATAATCATTTAACATAACACTTAGTAAACCAGGCAGGACTCTGTAGAGACCCTAATATACAATGACTTACCAGGGTGGCAGTGATACTGCAGGGACCAGGTGAGAAAGGACAATATGAAGGGAGTTTAAAGGGCATGAGTGCACTTTTGGAGGTAAAAATTCTATATCTCACTTTGTCTGTGGTCAAGGCTCCCCATATACAACATACATACACACACACATACATACATACACACACATACATACACACACACACACACATGTACAGGAGGCCACCTGCCAACTTCATTTCTTTCCTTCCCACACTTATTCCATGTGCTGTCCCTAATGCCCACTGCGGTTCCCACACTCCATGTTACCATTTGATGCTTTAAGAACATACAATAACTGCTTCCTTGAATTCTCTTCTACCTCCCTAATTCTCTCACGTCTAAATTAGTCAGCGATAACTCATTGCTGGAATAGTCAACGCCCAATGCAAAGGAGATATGCTTCTCATATGCAGCGGCTCCCTGGTGGTCCAGGCATTCAGGCTCTGTGACCCTATTAGCCCCACCTGCCCTGGAGTTTTGGAGCCTTGCACGTATCTTCTGGACCTGGGTGAGAATAACTGCAAGGCATCAGCATACCTGGGACCTGGACACACTCAAGGGAATTTTTCCAAATGACTACTTCAGAAGCTCAATGAAAACTATTTTAAGAGTAGAGAAACACTGAGAGGAGAAAATACTGTTCAGCCTCTGCTCTGGAGACCTTAAGATATGATACAGGGTATTTAATGAGGTCTGAAGGGGACTTTATGAAAATATACAGATGCATTAGTACAAGACAAACATGACACCCAGCATCCGAACTCCCCACACAGGTAGAGGTGTGTTACCAACTGTCTTCCACTACTACAATGATAAGTCACATGGGTGGCCCTCAAAAAGAGTGTGACCCGCTCGTCATGAGAGTAATTGGAATGTGTTTCTCACGTTTAGGAGCAGGTTAGACAGACCATTAGTGATGCACACATATACACACAAGAGCACCTGATGCTGTTTCACAGGGCCTCAGCTTAGTTCCCAGAACACACATCAGACCCCTCACAACCACCCGAAACTCCACTTCTGAGGGCCCCCATCCTATCTTCTGGCCTCTGAGCACAATGTGGCATACACTCACAGAGACATATGCATGTAAAAACAACTAAAATATTGGGAATCATTTTCTATACGTTTATTTTTAAAAATGGTGTCACCAAATGTAGAATCTTTACAAATTTCAAACCCTGAAGTCCTTACAGCAGTTTTGCTTTTGATAGCATGTATATTTTTTTTCCCTCACTGGTACTGGCACACCTAACTGACAGTGTAAAATCTGATATGCTTAGGAGGCTTCTTCCCAGAGCATTTGATATTCCAAGTGGAGCCCAGACTAGTGGGTGGCAGGAATGCCAACTCCGGAGTTCTGGATCTAGCTGGTGATTGGCTAGGGAGGGGCTTTGGGCGGACCTTCCTAGAGCGCGAGGCTTGCTAGAAAGCAATGGAGCCAGTCTAGACTGCCACTATCTCTCAGCCTTTGTAGCATTGCCGGTGTGAGGATTCTGCGAGCCCAAAGACGACTCGTTTCCCTTGGGCTTTCCCAGAGGCACCTGAAACCACAGACTGCTGGCACTAAAGAGAACCCAGGGAGTTTGAGAAGCTGTCGCTGCCACAGGAGGATGACTAGGAATGAACTGCAGCCAGCCCCAGGGTTTTAGCCAGAAATACGATGCAAACTTCTTAGACTCCCGCGTTTCTATGGAGGGAACAGGTCCGCAAGCAGCAGAAGCGCTTTTCACAGCACCAGCGCGGGATGAGTGAGCACCCTGACAGACACGAGGAAAGTCTTTGGAAGAACTCTCCCAGTTCAGAGACCAGCTTGCTCTAGCTACTTCTTCCTGCCCTCACCCCACCGCCTAGCCAGCGCGACCGCCACCCTTCTTCTGTGTCTGGGTGGAGGGTAAGGACGGGAGCTGACCAGCACCGCCCCTCCCGACCTGGAGGTGGAGATCCCACGGGTCCTGCGATTCAACACCCACTTCCCCCTCCCTCTGCCCCTATATCACGGGCACCCCCTCCTCCTTCCCTTTTCCCTCCTCCCTGGAGACAGGGGAGGAGAAAAGGGGAGCTCGGGTCGTCATGACTGAGCTGCAGGCAAAGGATCCGCGGGCACCCCACGCGTCGGGAGCCGCTCCCTCTCCCACCCACGTCGGGTCCCCCTTGCTTGGTCACTTGGACCCTTGTCCCTTCCAGGGGAACCAGCCGTTGGACGCGCCGTCCGTAGTCCCGCCTATACCCATTTCCCTGGACGACAGACTGCTCTTCCCTCGACCCTGTCAAGGTCTGGAGCTCCCAGGAGAAAAAGCACAGAACCAGCAGTCGCTGTCCGAAGTGGAGGGAGCCTTCCCTGGAGTCGAAGCCACTCTTGAGGCAGGAGGCAGCAATCCCAGAGTCCTGGAGAAGGACAGCAGACTCTTAGACAGTGTCTTAGACACGCTGCTGGCGCCCTCGGATACCGAGCAGAGCCACGCCAGCCCCCCAGCCTGCGAGGTCATCACATCTTGGTGTCTCTTTGGATCAGAGCTTCGAGAAGACCCCCGCAGTGTCCCTACTAGCAAGGGGTTGCTGTCCCCTCTCATGAACCGGGCAGAGAGCAAGGCTGGCGACAGCTCCGGAACAGGAGCGGGGCAGAAGGTGCTGCCCAAGGGGTTGTCACCACCCAGGCAGCTCCTGGCCCCGACCTCAGGGAGTACTCATTGGCCCGGGGCAGGACTGAAGCCGCCTCCTCAGCCGTCTGCCGTGGAGGTGGAGGAGGACTGTGACCTAGAGACTGAGGGCTCCCCGGGATCGCTTCTGAAGAGCAAACCTCGAGCCCTGGAAGGCACGGGCAGTAGAGGAGGAGTTGCAGCCAGCGCGCCCGCGGCTGCCCCAGGAGGCGTCACCCTGGTTCCCGAGGAAGAGTCCCGATTTTCTGCTCCCAGGGTCTCCTTGGAGCAGGACGCTTCGGCGGCGCCCGGGCGCTCCCCACTGGCCACCACAGTGGTGGATTTCATCCACGTGCCCATCCTGCCTCTCAACCACGCGCTCCTGGCTGCGCGCACCCGGCAGCTGCTGGAGGGGGACAGCTACGACAGCGGGGCCTCAGCCCAGGGCTCATTTGCCCCGCCTCGAGGCTCGCCCTCCGCGCCATCCACGCCGGTGCCCTGCGGCGACTTCCCAGACTGCGCCTATCCGCAGGACGGTGACCCCAAAGAGGACGCCTTCCCTCTTTATGGCGACTTCCAGCCGCCAGGCTTGAAGATCAAGGAGGAGGAGGAAGGCGCGGAAGCAGCTGCGCGCTCGCCGCGCCCCTACCTGGTGGCCGGAGCCAGCGCCGCCACCTTTCCAGATTTCCCGCTGGCGCCCGCGCCGCCACGGGCTCACTCCTCCAGGCCCGGGGAGGCGGCGGTGGCCGGCGCTCCCGGCAGCTCCGCGGTGTCGCCCGCGTCCTCTTCGGGGTCCGCGCTGGAGTGCATCCTGTACAAAGCCGAGGGCGCGCCGCCCACGCAGGGCCCGTTCCCGCCGCTGCCCTGTAAGCCCCCGGCCGCCGGCCCTTGCCTGCTCCCGCGCGACAGCCTTCCCGCACCCCAGGCCTCCTCGGCAGCCCCCGCCATCTATCCGCCGCTCGGCCTCAACGGGCTCCCGCAGCTGGGCTACCAGACCGCAGTGATCAAGGACAACCTGCCCCAGGTCTACCCGCCCTATCTCAACTACTTGAGGTGAGCACCTGCCCGGGGCCCTGCCCCGCTCCACCCCTCCCTGCAGCAGCTCCAGGTAGCAGGGTGACCGCGGGAGGGCTGGGCCTTGCAGCCCAGACACCCTCTTATGTTTTCTGGGGCGCATAAGAGATATCTTTGGTCAACTTCCCCCTAAACACTGTCTGAAAACTTTCGGAAGCAGGACCACCCTGGTCCAAAACCTGCGGATTCACTCTAGGACCCCCGATTGTCCCGAGGATGGGGGTGCCAGGATACTGTCTAGTGGGTTGCAGGCTTTATTAAATTCATTAAATACTTAGTAAGGATGACATGGACCGTGTGTGTGTGTGTGTGTGTGTGTGTTGGCACTTAAGCACTGTTCCTCTGGGAGGGGTGGGGCCTAGGCTTAGAACTGAAACCTTAGGGATCTGGGCAGGTCTCTGGCCTGGTTTTCCTAAAACTCTCAAGACTGAAGCAAACTGCAGGAGGAAAGTGTTGGTCATAGGGTTTAAACTCAAGGGCAGTGTAGCCCGAGCATGGCATCCTTGTATTGTTTTCAAAAAACATTTAACTTCACATGTTGAAGTAATGGAATGTGAAGAGAAAAAAAAAATTCTGAAGTTTGTGGTCTCTCGTGCGGTGACTAGGTAAAATAAAGTCAGTGTGCTAACAGTACTTTAACATCTCTATTTATATGTTGGAGCAACCGTTACAGGATTATGTTTTCAAAGCAGAACCCCTGCTAAGTCGACTTAACTCCCAAAGCTCAAAGGTGTTTTTTTGTGACCCAGCTCTGAGGAAGGATGTCGTATTTCATCCACCAAAGGCGAAATCACTTCTGAACAAGCTCTTTTTAAATGAGAGTGTCTAGCTGTTCTGAACGTAGAAGGATGCACTGGATCTTCTTTTATTACTATTGATGAATGGCTAATAATGTGTATGCCAATGAATCCATTATAGGTAGTTCATGATATCAAGTAACAAGTTTAGTCTACCCGACTTTGAAATATGTGTATACATTGTGTGTGTGTGTGTGTGTGTGTGTGTGTGTGTGTGGTCCTGGGAGCTGGGGATGTGGCTCCATTCCTAGAGTTCTATTCCCAGCACCACATAAACTGGGCATGGTGGAAAACACCTCTATTCCTAGCACTTAGAAGCTGGGGCCTGAAAGTTCCTGAGTTCAAGGCCAGTTTCTGGAATGTAGCAAGTTTAAAGCCAGGTTGGACATATGAGATATTTATCAAAAAACTAAAACACAAATCAAAAACAAATAAATATTAGGCTGTATGTAACAAATCTGTGGTGTCATCAGTGGCAGTTTAGGAAATCTTTGTTTATCAGAGCAGAGAACCTAAACCTAATTGGAGCCTGTTTTGCATTTCAAGGCCAGATTCGGAAGCCAGCCAGAGCCCACAGTATGGCTTTGACTCCTTACCTCAGAAGATCTGTTTAATCTGTGGGGATGAAGCATCTGGCTGTCACTATGGCGTGCTCACCTGTGGGAGCTGCAAGGTCTTCTTTAAGAGGGCGATGGAAGGTAGGCAGCTTCTTCTCATTCCTCCTCACCATTTAATTGTCTGGAGCCCACCCAGTACTTGATAGTTTCTCTACACCTTAAAATGCCATGCTATGTTAATGGTACAGCACCCAAGAGTGAATGTCGTTGACTGTTATAACTTTGTCCTGTGACTCACACTTTCAACAGTATACTCAGGTCCTGACATTGCGGACTGTGTTGGCATTCAGAGATTCTCTCCTCTCAATACGCAGCTTGACTCTAGTGACGAGCTCATATGTATCTACCGCCCAAACAAAACACTGTTTTTATCAAAAGAAAACTTATGGTAATTAAAGTTACATATCTGTGCAATTTGTATACATGAACACACATTGATATATATATACATATGTGTATATATATATTACATGCTAAGAGTATGGTTATAAATACTATATACACACATATTTATATATATAAAGAGAATATGTGATACAATTGCAAATTCTTTGTCTTCTCTGTAAATATATATTGATATGTATACAGTAATTCTAAGCAAAATTTCTCTTGCTTTTTTGTTTAGCATATCCTTATGTATATAAGAAGACAGGAGTAATTGCTTGTAATAAATAGGCAACCTGAACTTCATAGTAACACAATTTCTCCAGGGCAATCTTGCTTTAAGTAAAACTTGCACATTTTTAAAGAAAATCTTAGTTACCTTCCTTAGAAACATTTTAAAATTTCTTCCACCTCAGTAAACGCCAAGTCAAACATGCTTGCCTTTGAAGATAAGAATACATTTAAAGATCATGTCACATTTGATGCAGGAGATAAATGTATTTTCTAACAAGCTGACACCGAGTGCCATGGTCACATGCGGGCAGAGGCTGAGGGTTGCTCATCAGCGGTCTGCTCTCCCTGATTCCTGGGAGTCTGAGTTTAACAGCCCCCATTTGTGAGCAGCTAAGGAGGAACTGGAGTATTAGCATTTTAGGGTCTTCCAGAGGGGTCTGCATGACAATATGTGCCTTTTGTTCCCTTTTAGAAGGCTTTTCTTCATAAATCATTTAGGTGATATTGAATGCATCCAGCTCCAAAGACCCCCAGGTTCACTGTGGTATCATACATCGAGGGCAAACGAGAGGACCTGAACTCTCGGACTTATTAGTGAAGTCTTGAATCCTCCGTCTTGAATCCCCTGTATTCTATAGTGCCCTTGAGTAGTATAAACTTAAAATTGAGCAGCCTCTTTTGGGTCCCCCAAAGGCCAATTATTCTAGTCTATTTCTGTTTTACAGATAAGCATGTCTCAAAGACACAAGTCTGGGTAATCATTAGCTGTTTCTCCATGGATGTATGTTAACACTTTTAACTGCGATTCTTTGGCATCCACCGTGTGAGTGTTGGCTTTTCAGAAGTTACCCCACTGAGCACATGCACAGAAGGAGGGTCACCTGTCATTTTCACTGCAGTGGCATCCCTGCATACTCTCAAAAGGCATCAGTAAGACCCCATTTTAAAATGAAGTAGCAGAAACAAGGTATTTTATTTAGCAATACTTAAGGAACAACTGAAATAGGTATTTATGAATCGTTCGTGAAGTTAGAGCAAGGCTGTAATACTATATGAGTAATCCATTCATGCAGCAAGTATTATGTGCTTCCTGTATTTAGATTTATGCTGAACTTACTCTTCTATGACTTTATTTCCATTGGTCTTGAACACAAAATGGGGGTGATAATGGATAATTTTTAGATGCAGATGAAATGAATTTATTTGTATGGTATCCAAAGGGCTCTCTTGGTGGCAATTTCATGTTGAAGAAGCTTATACTACGGTTGAAGAGTTATCATACACAAAAACAAAACATTTCCATAAAGATTCTCATTAAACACCCAGATAAACACTCAGTAAATTTAGATTCATATGGTTTCCTGTGGGACCAGAGGGAGGGGCTTGAGAGCTGCAATCTTTTGCTTCTTTTCCAACTTTGGATGTGTGGTGCGTGTGTGTTATCAGAGGGTGGAGTCACTCCTCTGATCCCACTTTTACATAGGTTCTGAAGATCAGACTCACACCCTCAGGCTTGGCCATCAAGCACTTTAACTACTGAGCCGTCTTGCTGGCTTGTGAGCTGGGATTCTAGGATAATAAAAGCAGGCTTCAGGGAGCCTGAGGGCATCAGTTGGTTCCAAGCACCCAGGAGAGCTGTGAGGTGCGCATGCTCAGGGAGGAGAGCTGTGAGGTGCGCATGCTCAGGGAGGAGAGCTGTGAGGTGCGCATGCTCAGGGGAGGCAGAGAGTTAGGCAGGGTTTGTGTAAACTAGGGGAATCGGTGAACAGACAGAAGTGAGCAGACAGAAGCTAGAAGTTTCCAGAAATGAGAGATAGCCAAAACTTTAGTGGCTGGGTAGAAATCACAGCAGAGCTGGGTTGTGAGTTAGTTCGAGGCAGAGGGGTGTGTATAAGGCAGCAAGACCAGAAAGGGAACGGCGGGTCAGTTAACTGAACCAAGGGTGTGACTGTAACCCCGGCATCGCAAAGTGCTTCTTACATCCCAGTGACTAAGTGTCACAGGCTCTACGGACTCACCTCATTCCCACGCAGAGGCAAGCTGCTATTCCCTCCTCACTTAGGAGGGAGCAAAGCTGCCTTCATGACAGTTAGCAAGTGGTAAAGGCAGCATGAACCAGGAAATGGGCAGAAATCACACAATGTCTATCAGAGAGATGAAAAAGAAAAACATCCCCCAATTCCACTAGTGCAGGCCAGCAACCAGGTTTGTGGGAGAAGGAAGCAGTTCTTATTGGCTTACTCTTGTGTGCGCAATGACTATAAAAATACTAGGCATTAAGTAAGTAAATATTTTGCTGTACGAAATGGTTGTCATAAGTAATTATGCTACACTCTCATTATTTGAATATTTTATTAACTGACAACATTGATAGTATAGACATTCATTGTGGTATGACTGAGCAAATACTGAACATAATTGAATTGTATTATTTATACTATATTATGTATATAGTATGAATAATAAATAGTGTAAATATTATTTATACTATATAGCATGGATGTATTTGTAATTGTTTCGTAATGTTATAGCATTTTAATTAATTCATTAATTAATTACCTGGAGCACTTTGGCTCATGCACTAACTTACTGAGTATGTGTCATGCCAAGGCCCTATGCTAGGTACTGGTGGGAGAGTGATAAAACAGAGCACATACGGCAGGCCACTGCTTGAGCAGTGACATTCAGAAAAGGGTATGCCACCAATACATGCTCATAACAAATTACATATATAATGATTTATTCATGCAGTGGTTGACTACTTAAAACACTGGCCCTTGTCAGTATAAGGACATTTAGAAAATGCTGAATTAGAGAAGAAACATGGAAACGGGACATAAGTGCAATTTTTTTTATTAAGAAAACATTTCTTTCAAAAGAGAGTGGTGCGGGAGTGTTGAGGCGTTGCTTGAATGTTTGATGAAGTACGGTGATCGGGCTCCACCCCAGGAAGGGAGGCGTCGTCACTAACACTGTATGTGCAAATGTCCACAATAAAACACTTCCCAACTTTGTAAAAAAAAAAAAAAGAAAACATTTCTTTCAACTAGTGAAAATAATTGATCTTTTAAATAAGACTCACTTGGAATTGATTTTTTTTCCTCAGTGTGGTATCATAAAGAGAAGTGATTGTTAGAAGTGTATCCACTAACAACTGCATAAGCTGTGTTTTCTCTGCCTTTAAAGTTCAGTAATACTTTATCTTCAGTAGTCCGCAAATTTGCCCAACAGTCTCCTCCACTATTATTTATGTCATTAACATTTGGGCTCTTTAGAAGACAGCTCACCAATCATCATATTTGGTTTAATGTGCTCTCAGAAAGAGTTCGCACTTTGGCAGCTTTCCCATTACCCTAAAAATAAATGTGTAGTAATTCATTGGACTTCATTTCCAAACTCTACAGCCAATTTCTTCTCAAGCTGGAGGTCATTCTGTCTAGCACTAACGACCAATGAACGTGACTGGTGGTATGACATGCCGAAGTAAGGAAGCATAGCATTGGCTAGCATATGTTTGGCCATTCTTTTTTTTTGTTCCAGGTTTTCGAGACAGGGTTTCTCTGTGTAGCTTTGGAGCCTGTCCTGGCACTCATTCTGTAGACCAGGCTGACCTCGAACTTACAGAGATCCGCCTGCCTCTGCCTCCCGAGTGCTGGGATTAAAGGCGTGCACCACCAATGCTCAGCAGTTTGGCCATTCATAACGACCCTTTGGCACCTGTATATCATTAAAGGCACTGTTCAGAGGAAAGCAATGCTCACAGACATCCATGCTAACCATGGTAGCTGTGCCCCTGCTAGGACCACTAAATCCTGAATTTCGTCTAAATGCCCAAGAAACATGACAGTGCAATGTGCTTAAAAAAAGATTAAAACATTGTTGATAAATCTTAAGTCCTGTGTGTGCATATATATATATATACATATATATATGGATGTGCGCTTGCTTCTATATGAATGTGTGTGTACATGTGTTGCCTGTGTGGGAGTGAAAGTTCATGTGTGTATACACACATGTGTATGTGCTTGTGTTTATGCATGTACGTGCATACATGTGTGTCTTAGTCACTGTTCTGTTGCTGGGAAGAGACAGCATGACCACAGCAACTCTTGGAAAGCCTTTAACTGGGGCTGGCTTATAGTCCAGAGGTTTAGTCATTATTGTCATGGTGGGGAGCACACTGGTACACAAGCAGACGTGGTAGATGAGGGTTCTACATATGAAGCCAAAGGCAGCAGGAAGAGGGAAACAATGGGTCCGGCTTGAGCATTTGAAATCCCAAAGCTCACCCCCAGTGACATACTTATTCCAACAAGGTCACAGCTCTAAGTCCTCCCAAGTAGTGGTACTCTGTGATGACTAAGCATTCGAACATATGAGCCCATGGGAGCATATCATATCCAAGCCCATATATGTGCATGCATGTGTGTTTTCATTCATTGATACATGGTGTTTGTGTACAC